ATAATAAGGAACCTACTATTTAGGGTACTATATTAGGGTCCCCTATTTTCGGAAACCCCCATTTTGGCCGAGATTGAAATTCAAAACCTCCCCCAAAAGCCATGTGAAGACCAGGCCGGAGCACCGAAATGGGGGGCTCAAACATTTAAAGCTACCGTATCTTACATAGAGCCCTTACAAAGAACCTAGGCTCCGTCGGAAACCCCCGAAACCCCAAACCCTAAACCCCAAACCTCCCAAGTGTCGATGATGGCAGGAGCGATGTTCTCAGTGCAAAGATTCCAGAAGTTGGTCGACACTGTCTGCCACCTTTAACATGAGTTTCTCTGCAGAGGTCCATGGGGAGGCTGTGCAGGCCTTGCAGACTCGGACAAATGACGCTGTACTATCTGTTTGTGAAGCTAAGAAGCGGGATTTGGTGTTTAAGCCTAGGGCCGGCAACCCTGTATGGCCTGGTTGGGGTAAGGATCTGCATTGTGTAGCAAATCGTCTTTCCGGAGATCAGAAGCACCAGACCGCGATAGAACTCGATTTGCCAGTAAGCTCTGCAATACCCTAAACCCCTGAACCCCTATATGCCTGCAGTAAATCTATCGGAATCCCTGGGCTAGCGAAGCAGGTAGTACTGCCCAGGAGGTTAGGGAGATCTTTAGGGTTTAGGGTTTACAGAATGTCCACATGTTGATTAAAAGAATGCTTATTGTGATCGTCATTATCATTCGTGTTGTTGGTGTCAATTGTGTGTGGATTGTTCTTGTTGTTGTTGTTGTTGTTGTTGGTGGTGGTGGTGGTGGTGGTGGCGGCGGCGACGGCGGTGGGGGTGTGGGTGGTGCTGGTGGTGTTAGGGTCGGGTTGGTATTGGGGTTGGGGTTGGTTTTGTTGTTGTTGTTGTTGTTGTTGCTGTTCTTGTTGTGGTTGTCTTCGTTCGGGCGTTATTTCTAGAACTACTGCCTGTATCTCATATTTGGTTTAACCCCCTTTCGATCGAGGGGTGATGCCGTCAGCATCAGGCATCGCCCCGCACGTCAAGGGGACACTGTCCTAGTATTTGCAGCCAAAAGGCATAAGCTGAATGTGTTTTTGTCCCTATTTTCGCTGCCAGTGCTGTGCGAGTGTGCGTGTTTGCTCGACCACCCTTCCCCTCATGCCCTGTCTGTGAGCCAGTGTCCCAGATTCATACTTCCGTGAGGATCATCGAGGGAAGTCTTCTGCTCCTGCGAAGTGCGCCTAGCGTTTGTCTTTGCACCGGATCCCCGACCCCGATGACGCGTTCGGAGTGGGCCGGAGAACTGAACTCCCTGTTTGATGTTCGTCACGCACTCATAGTTTGATTAGGGTCGTGATGAGCAATTGATCCCTACTCCCTCATCACCGCGATTGCTATTCTATTTCACTTCGGTCTATCGCGATTTTTCCAGACACCAATTTAATCACTTACGCGATTATTCTATTTCGCAGTTAAGATTATAGTTACTTTTTGTCTGTTTGGTAATTACTACAACTATTGCAGAAATGCACTACTAACTATAACGAGTTAGTATCTTCCTGATATTTATCATTATGATGAGTCTAACTCGTTTGTTTGTGATAATCCTGGCATTCTCATGATCATAGCAATTAACAGCGTCAGTGCTAGTAGCCTTACCATTATAATATAAACAGTACAACTACTGCGGCAGGTGGAGTTTGCCATTGAAGCACGGGCCCTTCCGTTCGTCAGCATCAGCTCGGATGAGCAGTTCCTGGCAGAGCTCGCCAAGATCATTCCACAGACCGACACACTAGAAGAGGCTTTTGCGACGGATGGAGCAGAACCCTGGGCACACGTTTTTGGAACATGTTTCCTTACATATAGGCCACATTACAAGTCATCTTAGATCATGGACGTATACAAGATTGATCAAGTTTGCGAGCGATTTTTCCTTGGTCGCTTCAGAGCCAGGAAACCCTGTCAGAGCTCGAAGAAGAGGATGAGGAGGCAGTTGAGATGGACATTTTTGGAAACGGCAATGTGGTAGAAAGATGACTCGTGCGACCTGGGGCGCTGCATCGTCACCTTGCGCCGTTGGATGTGGCTTCAGCTGCTGGTGTGGGATGTTCATCGTCGAATTGCAAGCCTTTGAAGAAATTGAGGCACAGACGTCTGAGATGGTTCGCGCAAAGATGCCCGCACTGGCCTCAGACTGTACAAAGTGCACAAAACACATCGGTTCCCATAGGCCACGGTCTCCAGTTTCGGCCAAAACCCTTTAAAACTGTTGACTAAGAGTCCGAGTGTGAGCGCCAAATCTAGGGCTGTGGGTTCAGGATTGGATATCATACAGGGGCCTTAATCATTAGAATAGGTTTTTGGGGTGTGTGTATATATATATATATAACTATATAAATATATACTGTAATATAAATAGAGCAAGGAAGCCCCAAAATGATATAGGTAATTATTAAGGCCCCTATAGTAATCAAACGGCTAGGTTCAGGTCCGGAGTTACTGTGTCCTACCAGTGGCCTGCGATGTGTGCTAGCGGGCATGCTGAGGTCGGAGGTCCGAGACTTGCATCATCACAGCCCTAAACTCCCCACCTTAAACCAAATGCTACATCCTCAAGCCCGATTTCCAAAGTAGATGAGATGCTTCCAGTGCGAGTGCTATTAAAAAAAAAGGGATTCACCCTACATCCTGAACCCAAAACCCTTCAATAGGGGTCGGAATATTTGCTTCAACGGCATCCCCGATTATAGTTCCTGTATACTTGTACTACAGTATATCAGAAAACCATATTAATATTCGATGGCCCACAAACTGTTTAACCCAAAACCATAAAGCGCTAAGCGCCCTTGTGTTTGAGCACCAGCGCAGAGACTTGATCCTTCGGACCTCCTGCCGAAGCATTGCCGTCAGAGTCACAAATGAAGCTCCGATATCCATTATAATTAAGGTTCCCCAATGCCTGTGGTCTTGATTGTCTAGCGTTTAGCGTTAATTAGGGGGTTGTTAGTTGGCAGACTAACTCCTACATCCTCGACCGCCCCTAAAATTTCTTAGTTCCTCAATACCCAACCTTTAAACTTTTTGGGTTCTTATAGTTTAGTAGTAACCTGAAAGTTTAACCTTTTATTTCCCTGGCTTATTGGCGAAGTAAGATTTAGTGGTCCCAAACTGACGGAGTTCGGAGTTTCTGAGAAGCTGCTGTTCGCGTTTTAACTTGTCCTTCCCAGGAGGATACGGTTGCCCTGCTCCGCGGCTTTAGAGGTGTCTTCAGCATTCAGAGGTTTAAGATATAAGGGGCCTAAATAATTACCAAGATTATGTTGGGGCTCCTTATTTTGATTATATATATATATATGATGGGCCCCAACGCCCTATTCTATTTATGAAGGCCCCTATATTAGGATTTACGGGCGGGTTTTGTGGTGTCTAGGGTTCCGAGATCATCCTGAGATAGGGTCAGTTGCACTTTGGGGTGTAGGATTTAGGGTTTTTCCCTCGCCAGCTGCCCTTTCGTCTGTCGCTCAGAAGGACAGCCTAAAGGATACTATATTTCGATACCAGTGGGGCCACTGGAACGCGTGACTTCCTCGAGGAAAGGGTGGTTGCATTGTGTCCTCCGGAAATACGGCAGCTACACTGGTCGCGCGGTGGGCTCTCATGCTTCACGCACAGGGTCTGAGCAGCTCATTCTGCCGCGAGTCTAAGATAACAAACGGTTGGGCTTCTGGCTATTGGGTTTGGGTGTAGAATTGCGAAACGCATGGCTTGGAAAGGAATTTAAACCGCTCACTAATTGACCCACACACCCTAAACTGTAACTCCAGAACTAGTCTAGATTTTGCACGCTGGATTTTGATAAGAAGGAAGACCCTTGCCCTCTTGGAGGTTTTACTGTAGCGGTTGGTGTTGTGTGGGTCCTTCTCTTGACGAGTGCTTCACTTCATTGCAGACCTCGCACCATATGCCTCGCCTGGAGTGTCCGAGTGTCAGCGCCGAAACTCCAAACCCATTTTCGATCAACCATTCAATGCATAGTCATGCGTTTGTTCAAATTAAGCCTACGCGCCCGGGAAGCTTGGGATGGGGTCCAGGTAGGATCCTGGTCGATGTTTGTCCCTACAGAGGAGGGAAACGGTAGACCCTACGTACATTGCTTTGTCGTCGGCCTGGTCCACTTGGCAGGACAATCGTTTTGCCAGGTCATCTAAAGATCGACTGTCCGGACATGTAAAGAAAGTGACATCATCGGATCTTAGGTTTTTTGGGGTCAGGAACTACCGATGTTGCCGATACAGCGGTTTTGGACTTGCAGACCCTGTGCTTGGAAGCGGCACTCACTGGTAAACTTGCTACAGTTTCTAGACAGTGCTGGTCGTGCAGACCGACGATCCAGCAGCCCAAGTTTCTGTCCCCGCGCGCGCGCTGTTTGTTTGATCAGCAGACATGGCAGCGCCTGCGCGATCACAGCAGCACGATCAACGGCATAAACAGGAACCACTGCCTGAACACCAATGATGGCGACGTTGCTACTGCTGCTGCTGCTGATGATGATGATGATGACGTTGACGATGATGATGCTTACGATGGCGATGTTGGCCTTGGTGGTGATGATGCCGATCTTGATGACGATGATGTTGTTCTGCCGGTGACGACCATAATCATCTGATATGCTTCTGGGTATCGAAGCCCCCAAGTCTTAGCAAAATTGCTGCTTTGCTGTAACGCTTCTACTACTTAACTACTTCTGCAGGGACAACCTGGCACTCTGATTATTACTCTTTGGGCTGCTCCTGCCAAATTTTCTGTGAGCTATTTAATATATGTACTGTTGTTGCGATGCTGCCATATAGCACTGCCAAGCCATCGCGAGAGGAACATCATTGCCCTTTGTTGTTGCTGTGGCTCGGCATTGTCAAAACCCGGACTGCAACCAGGAAAGCTAGTAAGCCCTGAGCCCAATTCCCATGATCCGCCATACCAAGTTGCGGTCTCAAGTGCTGATCCACACCAGGCCAGGATGCAAGAAAACGCCGTTGCCTCGGAAGGATTTGTAGTAGCTGAGATGTCCAGTACGAGCCGAATACATGATAGATACTTCACATCCTAAACCCTAAACTCTAAACCATAGCATTTCCCAGCAAATGCCTCTGCGCAGCATCCCAGCAGTCTTGACATGCTCCATTGCCTGTTGCATTACAAAGGCTCGCCGAAAGGTACCATGGGGGACCCACATAATTCCGAAGAATAGCGTGGGGGCTCCTTGTTACACTTAGAGTATAACATAAACCAGAACCCTAAATCCTAGACCCCAAACCCTATTCTAGCTATTCAGGCTCCTATACTAGTCCAACTGCGCTGAGGCGACCTTGGGTCCCTTAGAGAAGGCTGTGGAGCAGGACCGCGCTCGCAGTTTAGGGCTTAGGGCTTACGGTTTGGGGCTTAGGGTTTGTTGAGTTTTTGGAGTTCCGGGCTCTCAGTGTTTGGACTCCTTGCGTGCTGTCGAGAGAGAGAGAGAGAGGCACAGACATTCAAACAGATAGCTTGTTGCTGTTGTTCTTGTTCGGTGAGGGTCGTGAGGTGCGGTCGAGCACGACTAGTTTGTTGATGATGACGATGAAATGGTGATGAAGATGATGATGAGGAGGATGATGATGATTCAGGACTGGTGGCAGTAGTGGTGGTGGAGGACGTGGCCGTGGGAATAGCGGGCTTTTGCTACTGACTCTGTCAGAGCTTGGCCAAGCTTTGAGCAGACAGTTGGGAATTGTAGGCCATGTGGGTGCCAACTCTGTCCACACTATCCAACAACCTTATGGCCAATGAGCCGACTGCAACAAACGTCGCACAACTTCAAGCACGGTCACAGCTGAACGCGGAGAGATGTAATATTGAACCCCCAAAACAGTATTGGTACTTGTTTATTTATATTGTTTCGGCCCCTATATTACATCGCCAAACATCCCTGGAAAAGATGTGCCCTCAGGGTCTCATCGTACATTACGCTCGCGCCTTGATGCTGGACGCTAGTGGACGTCGCTCGCCTCAGACACCAAAACCCTTACCCTCAAAGGACTCATATTTTAAGGCTTTTGTGCCCAAAGACCCTAGTATATAAAGCTTTTGGGCTATTTTGATGCTCAGGGAGAGGGTTAGAGCTGTTGCCGTTGCAGGCTTGGGTCCTAGTAGCAGAGTCGGCAACCTTGAACCTTTTGTTGGGTAGCCCTTACACACCGGGGAACCTTCTATATAGGTCCCTAGGGTCTCTAGTACCGAATATACTTGGTGCCTGGGGGGATATATAGGGTGCTATATCCCGAATATAATGCCGAAGGTTAAGCTTTAGTCCCCCTGGGATACTGGACCAGTAAGAGGTGTTGCCTGGGCGGGCGGCAAAGACCCAGACCCCCAACTTGGTCAGCTATGGACGGTTATGCTTGAGGGTTTAGGGTTTAGGGAATTCAGGTTACGTTCTTCATGTGCCGCTTCTGCGTAAGAGGCCCCCGAGGTTTCGCCGGTAGAGTTTGGAGCCATTCCTGCTCCCGCCTGATGTCTTTGCTGGCTTTAGGACTGACCCAGCGATTCTAGCAAGTTTATTGGCTTCCTTTGCTCTCGCTCTGGAATCTTCCGGTGAGGTGTACTGGTGGGCCGCCGTGACGCTTCTTGGCACTGACTGCCCCGAATGTGTGGTCTGCAAGCGAACACACACACAGACAAGGACAAGGACACCAGTAGTTTACAAATATATATATATATATACAGATCGATGCGAGAGTACATGCAAATAAACACACACACACACATATATATATATATATATATATGAGGGGGGGGGGGAGGGGGGGCCCGCCGGGGCGCAACCATATATGTATATACACCTTCCTGCCTACCTACCTACCTACCTACCTACCTACCTACCTACCTACCTACCTACCTACCTACCTACCTACCTGCCTCTACCTATACCTACCTACCTACCTACCTACCTACCTACCTACCTACCTACCTCCCTACCTACCTACCTACCTACCTACCTACCTACCTACCTACCTACCTACCTACCTACCCACCGTACCCACCGTACCCACC